CCCAGGTCACGAGCGGTATGCTGTCTGTACCGAGGCCGCCACTGGTGCCCCCCTATCCACGTTCCCCCGGGACCCGGTGTCCGGCCTGTTCACTCTGGACACCGTGACCCCCCCGGCTGGGGCGCTCCCTCAGGTGGCTGCGTCTACTCAGGTTGCTGCTGCCTGCTCCTGTCGGTCCCTCACTCACCCGACGCTCCTCTGGCACCACCGCCTAGGTCACCCTGGGCTCCCGCGTCTGCATCACATGTCCCAGCACGGTCTTGTCGTTGGTCTCCCAGGTTCTCTCCCCGCGTTTCCCTCCTCCCCAGCCCCCCCTTGCACGCCTTGTGTCGAGGGTCGGCTTCGCCGTGCCCCTCACTCCTCCTCGTTTCCCCCTACCTCCGCGCCGCTGCAGACCCTGCACCTGGACGTCTGGGGCCCCGCCCCTGTCTCTGGGCCGCGTCGAGAGCGCTACTTCCTTGTGCTCGTCGACGACTTCACTCGTTACACCACAGTCTTTTCCCTGGAGCGCAAGGCCGACGTGCCTGGCGCTCTCATCCCCTGGCTTGTCTCTGCGCGTGTCCACCGCGGTCTCCCTGTCCTGCGTCTTCACTCAGACCGTGGTGGCGAGTTTGCCTTAGGTGTCCTTGGTCGCTTCTGTCGTGCGGAGGGCATCACCCAGACGTTCACCCTACCGGACTCCCCACAGCAGAATGGGGTCGCTGAGCGACGCATCGGTTTGGTCATGGAGGTGGCTCGCACCTCCATGATCCATGCCGGTGCACCCCATTTTCTGTGGCCGTTCGCTGTGCGCTACGCTTCTCACCAGCTTAACCTGTGGCCGCACCCTCAGCAGTCGCAGGTTTCGCCGACCCGTCTTTGGACTGGGTCTCCTGGTGACGCGTCTATGTTCCACGTCTGGGGCTGCCTTGCTCACGTCCGTGCCTCTGGCACGGACAAGCTCACTGCCCGCACCCTTCCCTGCGTCTTCCTCGGTTTTCCCCTTGACGCGTCCGACTGGCACTTTTACCACCCGTCGTCTCACCGCTTCTTTCCCTCTCTTGACGTCACCTTTGACGAGTCCGTCTCCTACTACCGTCGCTTCCCCCACCGTGGTCCCCCGGTTACCCCCCCCCTGTTCCTGGTCACTCCTTCCTCGGTAGTCCCTGCCCCTCCTCCTCCTCCCTGTCCCACCCCCTCTGGTGTGTCCCACGTCACCCCCCTTCCGTCGGCGGACGCGGTTGAGGAGTCCTCTGACTCAGGTGGCCCTCCTGTGCAGTCCTCACTGGCTGCCCCTCCCCCGGTGTCCCCTCCCCAGTCCCCTCCTCCACCGCCTCTGCCGCCGCTGCAGCCGTCGTTGTCGCTACCGCCGCCGCCGCCGCCGTCGCGGCCCCCGTTCGCTGACTCTGGGGGTGCTCGTCCCGGTCGCCCTGGGGGTGGCCCCTCTGGGGGTGCTGGTGTGGAGAGTGCCGGTGGTAGCCGAGGAGCAGCTTGCGGTCCAGGTGTCGCCGTTGCGCCGCCGCAGCAGCAGTCCCCGCCGGTGTCAGCCCTTCGCCTGCTCGGCCTTCCGTCACCCGACCCTGCGTCTGTTCCTCCCCGGCTGTCTCCTCCTCTTCCTGTCTACGGCCCTGTTTTCCCTCACCCGGACTCGTCCCCGGCCTGTCTCCCCCCTCGTTCCCCTCCTGTGTCACCTCCCCTGTCTCCTGACCCGACTCCTCAGTCGCACGTCTGGTCTCACCGTCCCTCTCGTGCTCGTCCTGCCTCGCCTGTCTTGTGCTCCCACCCTATGTTGCTTCGTTCCCACACGTCTCGTCCTCCCCTTCTGCCGTCGCCTCCTCCGTCCTCCCTTGTTGTTGCGCCCCCCCCCCGCTGTCTGACTACCTTCGTGCCGCTCGTCCCCTTGTTCCTCGGGTCCTTGCCTCTCTCGTTACCGACCCGTCTGTTCCGGTCTCGTGCCTTGACGCTCTTGTCGCTGCTGTCGCTGACTTCGCCTCTACCCGCCGCCTTGTCTACGCCACAGCTCTGGTCTCTGACCCTGCCTGTCCTCCGTCTGTCGGGGGTGCTCCTACTCTTGGCAGTGACGTCCTGGAGGACCGCCAGTTCGAGCTTGCTTTCCTCTCCGAGGCTGCTCCCCATCTCTGTTCCATGCTGCTAGTCCCTGAGGGTGACCCAGACGCTTTCGACATCCCGACCCCTCGCACTTACGCTGAGGCGACTTCGGGACCCTGGGCCTCACAGTGGATAGCTGCCATGGAGCAGGAGATGGCATCTTGGAGATCCACCGGCACCTTTGTCGACGCAGTTCCCCCACCTGGGGTGAACGTAGTCGATGGCCGCTGGCTCTTCAAGGTGAAGCGCCCTCCTGGAGAGCCGCCTGTCTTCAAGGCGCGCTATGTGGCTAGAGGCTTCAGTCAGCGCGAGGGGGTGGACTTCTTCCAGACCTTCGCTTCGACCCCGAAGATGACTACTCTTCGGGTTCTGTTACACCTAGCGGCTCAGCGTGACTACGAGCTTCACTCCCTCGACTTCTCCACTGCCTTCCTTCAGGGCAGCCTACACGAGCAGGTCTACCTACGTCGCCCTCCGAGCTTTACTCGCACCTTCCCTCCTGGTACCCAGTGGCTCCTGCGGCGCCCCGTCTACGGCCTGCGCCAGGCTCCTCGTGAGTGGCACGACACTCTTCGTGCTACCCTTGCTGACCTGCAGTTCTTTCCGTCTTCCGCAGACCCTTCACTCTTCGTTCGTGCTGGCCAGACTCCGTTCTACATCCTTGTTTACGTCGACGACCTGGTCTTTGCCACAGCAGATAGGGACGCACTGGCCTCCGTGAAGGCAGAGCTTCTGAAGAGACACACGTGCACTGACCTTGGAGAACTGCGCCGTTACCTTGGCTTGCAGATCTCCAGGGACAGAGCTGCGCGCACCATCACCCTGACTCAGTCACACTTGGTGCGCCAGGTCCTTCAGAGGTTCAGCCTTCATTTCTCCTCTGCACAGCCTACCCCTCTGCCTGTAGACCACAGACTCTCCGCTCCAGTGTCTGAGGAGTTGGTAGAGCCCAGCGGCCCCTATGCAGAGCTGGTGGGTTGCCTCATGTACCTGATGACTTGCACTCGCCCAGATCTCGCATACCCTCTCAGCATCCTGGCTCGCTTTGTGGCCACAGGCAGACACCGACCGCAGCACTGGTCTGCCGCTAAGAGGGTTCTGCGTTATCTTGCTAGTACATCGGGCATGGGGTTAGTGCTAGGAGGACGCAGGCCAGTGGTCCTTACTGGACACACAGACGCTTCGTGGGCAGACGACGCTGAGACGCTCAGGTCTACCCAGGGCTACTGCTTCAGCCTTGGCTCAGCTGCCGTCTCGTGGAGAGCTACCCGCTCCTCGTCTGTAGCACAGTCCAGCTGTGAGGCTGAGATCTACGCTGGTGCCATGGCGGCACAGGAGCTCCGCTGGCTGACCTTCTTGCTCACTGACTTAGGTGAGCGGCCTAGCTCTGCCCCGGTCCTGTTCGCTGACAACAGGGCCATGATCCTCCTGTGTCAGGAGCCTCGACTCGAGGGCAGAGCGAAGCACATCCAGCTGCGGTACTTCCTCCTGCGTGAGCTACAGCAGCGACGTCAGGCTCGCGTAGTACACTTGGCCTCAAGTGCCAACACGGCTGATATCTTTACGAAGGCGCTTGCGCCTAAAGATCATCAGCGGCACTGTGTACAGCTTGGTCTAGTTCCTGTAGCCTCTCACTTGCTAGGACCTTGACTTTGTACTGTCCTTTATACATATACTCAGACTGGACTTGTGTCCTCTCGCAGTGGCTGGACTAGTAGTGCCGCCCTGCCCTTGTTCTTGCCTTGTTTGTACTCCTTCTGACTGGTCTCTTAGACCCTTGTCTCAGAGGTTGGACTAGTAGTGCCGCCCTGAGCTGTTTGTTTAGGGCATTCCCCTATGCAGTCTAGGGGGTGTGTCAAACATGTGTATTTGTCATGTTTGTATAGAGTGTATAGGGTCGCCTCTTAGAGAGTACAACACTTAGGTATATCTTTGTGTACTCTCACTCTATCAATTATTAAATTTTCAATTCTGATAGGGTGTTGTACCCGATACAGTAAAGTTCAGTAACATCTAATCTACCAAGCCTACACATTATATAACTCAATATATAATTTTAACACACCCCCTAGGCTTGGTAGTCACATGCCCACACACACCCACACCCCCTAACCTAGCACCCCCATTCCAAGCATCAGCCACGTCTACTCCGGTGGGGCCAGTCCCCACGGCCCGTGAGATGGCGATGGCGGCAACCACGACAGTGACGAGAGCGGCGGCGGCGGCGACGTGCGGCGGCAACGGCCTGTGGCAACGGCGGCGGCAGCGGCGACTTCAACATCAGAGGCGACTGCAGCGGTCTCCGCCCTTTCGGCGGCATGGCCAGTCTCGACGGCGATGGGGGCCCCCACGGGCCAGGCGTTGGCTGTGGCGAGGAGGGGACGCAGGAGAAGGAGGGCAGCTGGCGTGCGGGCAGTGGCTACGTCACAGGCGTCGCGCGGTCGGCTGTGGCCCGACGGGGCCGTCACAGAGTGGCATCGATGCCGCAGCGGGACGTCGACGCTGCGACGGCAGCACGACGGCCCGACACCACGGCAGCGCGTCGAGACGGCCGCGGCACGACGCGGCCAGCGGCATCATGACGCCGCCACTGCAGCAAAACGCGGCCGCCATGGCCGCGCGAGCGAACGAGGGTGAGGAGTACGCGGCGGAAGCGTGAGGAGGCGGTCCAGCAGGGAGGAACTGCTCTAATGCCATGTTAGAAGGCTAGCTTAGCTAGGAAGCTAGGAAATGCATGAGGTTTAGCTAGGAGGAGCCATGGAGTAGCGTGAGGTTTAGGAAGGAGAAAAGTTGAGGAGAGAAAAGAGGGATAGGAAAGAAGAGAGGGGGATACAAGGAGGGGTGTTGTACCCCCTACAGTAATGTTCAGTAACATCTAATCTACCAAGCCTACACATTATATAACTCAATATATAATTTTAACACCTTGTACTCACACATTCCAGTTCACTTGTTCATTCTGACATTCCCTACATTGACACACTAGTGGAGTGGCAACCCACTAGGACAATCCAGCTTTATTACACATATGGTCCTGTTCGTATGAAGATTCCTTCGTCAGGGGCACGGCAGGGTATTACACTTGGATAGTTTTCTACATGCACTATCCAACAGATTGTCACACAGGAGGTGCAGCAGAGGTCAGCTGGAGAATGTATCGACTAAGAATCAGCACATGAGAAGAGGGGAAGAAAATGATACGCATAACAGCTGCGCACTATCCAGGACGCGCTGCATAGTTTGATCTTGGAACGTAACGCACATTGTTACTCTCACAGATAGACTGCAACAATCAGGGTTAATGGTTGAAGCAGTGGGACCGCGCAGTGGGTTGATAGGACCAGAAGGGAGGGACGGAAAAAGGGGGGGGGGGGGTCGAGGAGGGAAAGGAGCGGGAGAGGGGGAAAGGGAATGAGAGGATGGAAAGGGAATTAAAGAATGAAACGGGAATGAAAGAAAGGAAAGGGAATGCGATTGATTATCGTGTGCTTTGTGTGTTGCAACATTCGTAATGGATGGGTCCTCCACACTGGCATACAACCCCACTATCCAGCTCTGAAAAGAAATGCTTTCCTTTGTCTTGTTCCCTGAACTTTTTCTCTCACCTCTCCCTCCCTCACCATCTCTCCACCTTTCCTTCCGTTTATCTCCCTCTTCAACTCAAACGCAGGATTCGCCCTAAGGGATTGAGGCATGGAGGGCAGCGCACCTGCAGGTCGTCTGTGAGGTTGCCTGTGACCGATATGGCGTAGCACCCAGGGGCAGCCCGACCTACACAGTGAAAGGCGGCGGCAGAACAGAGGATAGAGGCCCAAACTTATCACCTGGAATCCCAAAAGAATCCCGCCCTGCAGGCGGGAGACAGAAAGTATGCAGGAAAGTTGAAAACACGGGTTCATAGTCCACAAGGAAAAATGTGACGTAAGAAGGGAGGCCAGCAGCAGAAATTCTTACTTATTCTAAGCCACCGCGCCGCCCAGCTTCCAGCAGGGTCCATACATGAGATGATGCTGGCAGCGAGAAGGGGAGGAGGGCACACGAAAGAGAAAAGGGGACATTGCCGGAGGAAAGGTGATGGGCGGAAAGTAGCGAGAGACGGGCCTCAGGGGAGAAAGCATGAACAGGGCCCAGGCAGGCAGCAAGCCTAGCGCATTGCAAGCAGTCAAAAGGGATTCTGTTGAATAGGTGAGGCAGATAGAGCATGTTTGGTGGACGTTCCAAGAGGCCGGGGCGGTTTACCCTGAGAAATTGGCGGTGGTGGCGTCCTTCACCCGCTCCTCGTCACCCGCCATTTCGAAGAAAGGGCAATTCTCGCACCCGTTCGCATAGAACTGGATGCGATGCGGTTTACAACGCGGACACAACGCACGTGGCACGCGTAGCAAGCACGGGGTGAAGAGGGTTTGTAACACGGAGGTATATGAGACAGCATTGACGAGAACGAGATAGCTAGGGATGGAGGAGGAACGAACGTGGAACGACGAAAGGGGGTTCCAGGCAACCATAGGCAGTTGACAAACATGAGCAGCATTGAGTTAAGACTGGATCGACGCGTCTCGGACGCGTAAAGAATGACCAATCCTACAGTAGTCTCCACTCCACTTGTACGTCTCCTGACCGCGACCTGGCACCCAAAGAGCGGAGCATCGCTCGCCACCTGGACGGTTGGTTCACAGCGCTATTCTCTACCTGGTCGTATGTCTTCAGCAGCGAGCAGCGGAGGCACGCCCGCAGATGCCGACCCACGTCCGTCGGGACCTCAGCCGCATTCGCCATGCCTTGCGATCGTTCAATCCCTCTAACTGTCTCTAGCGAAAATCGATCGAGTCCAACCCCCCTCCCGGCGGGTTCCGCGTCTGTCTGTGCTCGTTCAGGCGGCCGTGAAATCCTGCTCGGATCAAGTCGGAAGTACTTGAACACCTAGCAGCTATGCGATTCGGCTAAGTTGTTCAGGCTAAGTTGGGATCGGAGAGGGACCCTCCTGCGCGTAATATCCACATGCCATAGACGCTGACATCGCGTCCTGGGAACATGACATTGAGGTGACTAAGCAGGGGTAGTCCGAATCCAATAGTAGCTGATGTGGCTTTAATCTGGTAGTTCCACAGCTGGTTTCAACGGTGGTTTCATAACACGCGATCCAAAGACATAAGGTGTATGAGCGCAGAAACAGCGACGAGAAACGAGAATTGTCTTGGCGAGACCGATTGCAAAATGGCAACAGTAAGGATGTTTTGATAGAAAGGTAGTGATTTCAATGTGTCGAAGACAAATGAAGCACATGGCTAAATACAAGCACAGCTAGCCTAGCAAGACAACCTCGAGGAGGGCCACAAAACACACGTGAGGTGGTTTGGGCGCCTCAGGGTTCGTAAGTGTCGGACGCGACTCCACGTGTATTCTTGGGGGTCTCGAACGTAGTTTGGGACCTGCGTTGTCGGACTGAGTCTGGACTTCCGAAGTTCGGGGATGTACGCCGTGTTAGCGAGGGTTCGCCAAGGAAAAATAATTTTCCTTGCACCTTCCCCTCTCCTAGATGAGACTAACCACATTTGGGGCAGATTGGTCCCGTAAATAGAACTACACCAGAGGGTGGTTGTGTCAACTTATACATATTATCTATGTAGAAATTATAGGCTAGACTGAGGTATGCTTCTAGTGAGTACAACCAACTAGTATTTGTTCTAGGTTTCCACCTCTAGTAATCATTCGTTTCTACGTTAACATGGTATCATGCTTAGGTTAGGATCCCCCCGCCTACCGCTTCCGCCCGTCGCGCCTCCTAGGCCCCGTCGCGCCCCCTAGGCCCCGTCGCGCCCCCCCTGGGCCCCGTCGCGCTCGTTAGGCCCCGTCGCGCCCCCCCTGGGCCCCGTCGTGCCCGCTGGGCCCCGTCGCGCCTCCTAGGCCCCGTCGCGCCCCCCCTAGGCCCCGTCGCGCCCGCTGGGTCCCGTCGCGACCCCTAGGCCCTAACGCGCCCCCGCTGGGCCCCGTTGCGCCTCCTAGGCCCCGTCGCGCCCCCCATGGGCCCCGTCGAGCCCGCTGAGCCCCGTCGTGCCTCCTAGGCATCGTCGCGCCTCCTAAGCCCCGTCGCGTCCCCCCCCTCTGGACCCCGTCGCGCCCGTTCGGCCCCGTCGCGCCCCTCCTAGGCCCCGTCGCGCCCGCTGGGCCCCTTCGCGCTTCCTAGGCCCCGTCGCGCCTGCTAGGCAGCGTCGCGCCCCCCCTGGGCCCCGTCGCGCCCGTTAGGCCCCGTCGCGGCCCCCCTGGGCCCCGTCGTGCCCGCTGGTCCCCGTCGCGCCTCCTCGGCCCCGTCGCGCCCCCCCTGGGCCCCGTCGTGCCCGCTGGGCCCCGTCGCGCCCCTTAGGCCCCGTCGCGCCCGCTGGCCCCTGTCGCGCCTGCTGTTAGCGCTCGCCCGCCTGGCCTCCTCCTAGTGCCGCTCGGCCTCCTCCTAGTGCCGCCCGGCCTCCTCCTAGTGCCGCCCGGCCCCTTCCTAGCGCCGCCCGGCCTCTCCTCAGCGCTGCCCGGCCCCTCCTCGTGCCCGACCGGCCCCAACAGCACCAGCCTGGCCCCTCCCAGCACCAGCCCGGCCCCAGAGCACCTGCCCGCCTCCCCTGCTCGGCCTGCCGTGTCCTCTCGGGCCCTGTGTCTTCTGCTTGCCTGCGCTGGGACGCCTAGCTGCTGCCCTACTGGAGAGTGCTGCCGCCGTGTCCCCGCGCCGCTGTGCTCCTGTGCCGCTGAGGAGCTGTGCTGCTGTGCCGCTGTGTCGCTGAGGAGCTGTGCCGCTGACCCTGCACGATGGCTGACTTTGTGCTCCGCCTGGACGCTGAGGGCCACGCGATTGACTTCGCCGCCTGGCTCTCCGATCTTCGCCGCCAGCTTACAGGTCAGCGCCAGGATGGCCACTCTCTGGTTGTCCATGCTGATGGCTTGCTCCCCCGTCCCCCTGCACCTACTCCCCTCCCTGCTGACCCCTCCTCTGATGACCGTGAGGCTTTCTCTACTGCTGCGCTTGCCTGTGCGATCTGGGACTCACGCGATGCAGTAGCTCAGGTTGCTATTAGTCACGCCCTCCCTGTGTCTGAGCGCTCGCGTTTTGCTACTGTTGAAACGGCCAAAGCTTATTTAGACGCCGTTATTGCTCGCTATTCCACCCCTGCCTCCGCTTCTGCTGGCCGCTTGCTCTTTCCGATGCTGTTCCCAGACCTGGCTGCCTTCCCTACTGTCGCAGATTTTGCCACTCATTTGCGTGCCCTAGAGACTCGCTATCGCACTGCCAGCACTGCTGCCCAGCTCACTGCGCTCCCCCCTCCTTTCTGCATGACGCTCTATTTTATCGCTATGCGCCTGCCAGACCGCCTCGCTAGTGCTCGCGACCACTTTCTTAGCCAGCACCCGGGTGACCTCACCCTGACCGCCTTTGTCGACACCCTCACTGAGATCGAGACTCGCCAGCGCACTATCGCTCAGTCGAGCAGTGCGCCGGCAGTCTCTATCTTTCACGGCTGTGCCCCATCCCAGTGCACGTTCACTGACGTTTCGGCTGCGGTCGCCACGGCGACCCCTCTTACCGAGACGGCTGCTGCTGTCCACCCGCAGCAGCGCTCGCGTCGCGGTGGCCGTGGCCGCCAGGGAGGTAGGGGTGGTGACGCAGGTGGTAGTGGTCGTGGTGGTGGTGACGGTAGTCCGCCTGAGGGGACTACCACCGGTGGGCAGGAGCAGCAGCCCCAGCAGCAGCAGGACCAGCCCCAGCCGCAGCCGCCGTCCCAGCAGCACCCGCCGCAGCCGTGGGCTCGTCTCCCGCCTGGTTGGCCCGGCACCTCCGGAGGCGGTGGCCGTGGTGGCGGCCCGCGCAGCTTGGCGTCTACCAGCGGCTCCAGTGCTGTGACCTGCCAGTACCAGCTTCAGACTGGGCCTCTCCGCGGCACTCTGTGCCGCCGCCCGCACCCGACCGCCCGCTGTTTCCGCCGCCTCGACGATCTTTTTCGTCGTCGCTTTGGCCCGGCCCCGGACCTCCCTGACTGGCACAGCCTGCTCCGCCAGGGCGTGCCGATCTTTGAGTTAGACATGGATCAGATAGGTGCTGCTTTGCATGCTTTGTATGCTAACGCTTCTAGTGTTGCTGGATCTTACTACCCTGTGTACTCTAGTTTAGGTGTTTCACCCTTGTGTAGCTTAGCTTCCCCTGCTGCGACAGGCGTAGGACTGCCTAGGTTGCCTAGTCTAGTCGCTGCACCGGCTCCGTCCCCGGCCTCCGCCACTGCGTCGCTGTCCTTCACTCTCGACTCTGGTGCTTCTGCCTGCTTCTTCCGCGACCGTTCCACGCTCACGCCGCTTGCTGCACCTGCTGTTGTCTCTCTCGCTGACCCCTCTGCGGGTCCGGTCGTCGCGCGCAGTTCTACGTCCCTTCCCTGTCCGGCAGTTCCCTCGGGCTCCCTTACTGGCCTCCACGTTCCCTCGTTCTCCAGGAACCTGGTTGGTGTCGGCTGTCTCCAGGACCTCGGCGTCACCACCACGTTCCCCGGGCACGAGCGGTTCGCTGTCTGTTCTGAGGCTGTCTCAGGTTCCCCCCTTGCGACGTTCCCCCGGGACCCGGTGTCCGGTCTGTTTACCCTACACACCGCTTCCCCCCCAGTTGGTGCGTCCTCCCAGGTCGCTGCAGCTTGCTCGTGTCGGTCCCTCACTCACCCCTCCCTTCTCTGGCACCACCGCTTAGGTCACCCTGCTCTCCCGCGTCTGCGTCACATGTCCCAGCACGGTCTTGTCTTAGGTCTCCCCGCGTCGCTCCCTGCCCTTCCTCCCTCGACTGCGCCACCGTGCACGCCTTGCGTCGAGGGTCGGCTCCGCCGTGCTCCTCACTCCTCCTCGCTGCGTCCTGCTACTGCCCCCCTTCAGACCCTGCACTTGGACGTTTGGGGCCCTGCCCCCGTCCCCGGACCGCGCGGTGAGCGCTACTTCCTTGTGCTTGTCGACGACTACACGCGCTACACCACGGTGTTTCCCCTGGAGCGGAAGGCCGACGTGCCCGACGTTCTTCTCCCGTGGGTTGTGGCTGCGCGTCTCCACCGCGGTCTCCCCGTGTTGTGTCTCCACTCCGACCGTGGCGGCGAGTTCGCCTCTGGTCGGCTTGGACAGTTCTGTCGTGCGGAGGGCATCACCCAGTCGTACACGTTGCCGGACTCGCCACAGCAGAATGGGGTTGCTGAGCGCCGCATCGGCTTGGTCATGGAGGTCGCCCGTACCTCCATGATCCATGCCGATGCCCCCCATTTTCTGTGGCCGTTCGCTGTTCGCTACGCGGCTCACCAGCTTAACCTGTGGCCACGCTCCCAGCGGCCGCAGGTTTCGCCGACCCTCCTTTGGACCGGGTCCCCCGGTGACGCGTCTGCGTTCCACGTCTGGGGCTGCCTTGCTCACGTTCGTGCCTCTGGCACGGACAAGCTCACTGCCCGCACTGTCCCCTGTGTCTTCCTCGGTTTCCCCCTGGACTCGTCTGACTGGCTTTTCTACCACCGCCGTCTCACCGCTTCCTCCACTCTCGTGACGTCACCTTTGATGAGTCCGTCTCCTTCTACCGCCGCTTCCCTCACCGAGGTCTCCCAGTTGCCCCCCCCCTTTTCCTTGCTCCCTCTCCCCCAGTAGCCCCTGCCCCTCTCCCGCCTCGTCCTGCCCCGTCTGGTGTCTCCCACGTCACTCCCCTCCCGTCGGTTGTCCCCGTTGAGGAGTCTGCTGACTCTGGTGGTACCCCCGGTCCGTCCTTGCCGCGTCCCCCTTCCCCGGTGCCTCCGCCCCCACTGTCGCAGTCGCCGACCCCGCTGCCGCCGCCGTCGCCGTCGCCGCCGCAGCCGTCGCCGCTTTCGTCGCCGCCGCCGCCGCTGTCGCTGCCGCAGCCGTCGCCGCTGTCGCCGCCGCCGCAGCCGTTGCCGCCACTGCCGCCGCTGCTCTCGGCCCCTGGGGGTGCTGGTGTGGAGGAGGGTGTTCGTCCTGCGGCTTCTGGGGGTGCCGCTGGTGTTGGAGGGGGTTCTCGCTCTGGGGGTGTTGGTTCCGGGGGTGCTGCTGTTGAGTGTTCTGCCGACGGTCGTT